GTCCAATATAAATTGGCTACTTGTACATTTACTTGATTACGTTTCTGAAGAAAAAAGCAATACCTTTTACTCCTTACAATTTTGTTGAAAAGTACTCATTAGATTTTATTTTCTTCCACCTTGCATGCATTAAATATGGTAACAGAAGCTCAAACATGCATGATGAACCAATGATTTTTGTCTTCATGCATCAATCACACAGGTTTTAGCTTCAGTTATAATCAGGGACATTTCTGACCATCAAATCTGAAGAAGTATATTGAGTTACAAATCTTAAAAAAAATTAAATTGAACATTGTATGTAAAATTAGCTGTAAGTTATGCTTAGGGGTGCTCCTAACAGTGTCCATACGATGCATGTGTATGGGACTGCTTCAAAAACCACACAAAGTGAAGTTGGATCAGTATTTCCCAATGCACCATGCACCCTGCACATGGTCTAAAAGGGTTGTCCCTATTCTCTTAATGAGTAATGGGTGTGTTTTGGGCATAACCTGCAATAAACCAATCAGAGTCTCATCTCCCATTCCCTTTAACAGCCAGTTGCGCTTGCGCAATGGCAGATTCGCTATTTACACGGCAAGAGCAAGAGACTGAACTCGTCTCCAGAGAGAAAACAGAGCTGCTCGTGTGCAAGCAAATAGGTAGCCTAATTCTGATACATGCAATGACTATCCATTGTGACATGTAGGCATTTTTATATTTATGTAGCCTACACAGTAATCATCTTTTACATTGTATTCCTTTAATTTTTTATATTTGGCATGTTTGTGTGCTGCTCTGTGCCCCAGAGTGTGTAATAAGCAGAGTGTACTCCTGTTGTGGACCTGCCTATAGGCGCATATTACTAACGCACTATTTAAATAACAAAAAAATACTGCGCCATTGACTTTAGACCAGGTTTTATTTGGTCAATGGCACAGTCTATTTCAGTTGCCTCAAAATAGCAACACGCCAACAATGCGCCTGAACACACTTCGTTTTCAGAAAAGCCAGATTCTCCTAGCTGACTTGTTCCACTCATCCAGATTTTGTTCTTCAGAGCTGCACAATGTTTTTTTTTTTTATTAATTTTTTTTACAGCTCTCAATTCATTAAACTCTGTGAAAAACCTGTTGGATCCTTATGACGCATTGCAGTGCATGCTGCACCTTTCGACACAGTGAAAAAAATTTTCCACCTAAAAGAGCTAACATGGATGAGAAATATCTTTTCAAAGATGCCTTACCATATTTGTGTTTTTGAATGTGGGCGACATAATTCTCCATGGGATGACCACAATTCCCTAGGCAGACATTACGCAGAGACAGCGTTCATGGATGGTACATGTCATGACCATGGGAACGTTAAAACTCATCCAGATTTTGTTCTTCAGAGCTGCACAATGTTTTTTTTTTAATTAATTGTTTTTACAGCTCTCAATTCATTAAACTCTGTGAAAAACCTGTTGGATCCTTATTGCAGTGCATGCTGCACCTTTCGACACAGTGAAAAAAAATTTCCACCTAAAAGAGCTAACATGGATGAGAAATATCTTTTCAAAGATGCCTTACCATATTTGTGTTTTTGAATGTGGGCGACATAATTCTCCATGGGATGACCACAATTCCCTAGGCAGACATTACGCAGAGACAGCGTTCATGGATGGTACATGTCATGACCATGGGAACGTTAACATCACAACTTTCATTTTTCTTTAAAGAGACAGTCAGTTCTTCTCCAAACATTGAGGCTGATTTGTGGACATCAATGGGAGCATTTCAGCCGGGTTATCTCCCACAGACCTCCCATTGTCCAGCATGTCCCAGTCAAGTTCATGGACGATTGAGGTGGCTCAACTGAGGGCAAGTACAGTCTCTCATTTGGTGCTTGAAACAAGGATAAATTGTCATTTGCAGCATTGGGGAAATGTTTGACACCTTCTGATGCTGACACAGACTGATCCCAATGCTGAGTTGGCTGCCATGCTTTCCCAGGCCCATTGGGATAGAGTGGAATCCTCCATCCTGCCCTGAGCATTCCCACCTAAACAACTCATATATGGGCTTGGAGCATGATGCAAAGCTAATTTTATTAAATCTCTGAGGCAAAGGCTTACAGTGCCGCTGGACAGGCCACCTCTATACCCAGGTGACTATAAGACATAAGTGGTCCAGCTTATCTGGAGTCGATTCAGCAAAGCACAGGTGGATCTGTTTGCTTTGCAAGAGTCCTCCCATTGCCCTCTATGGTACTCCCTGACTGAAGCTCTGTTCTGCACGGACGGTTTGGCACACAGCTGGCCTTAGGGACTGTGCAAGTATGTGTTCCCCCAAGTGCGCCTGATTGCACAAATGTTTTTTCAAGGTCAGGTAGGAAGGAGAACAGGTCCTGCTGGTTGCACCCTGCTGGCCCACAAATACTTGCTTCTCGGAGCTCATGCTCCCCTCGACGCCCCCTCCCTGGTGAATTGCCCTCCTTCCCCTTCCCTTTCTTTTTGCTAACTAGTGTTCTTCCTGAGAAGATTCACAGAGATTTTGCCATTGGGTAAATGCTTTCATTCCTAGAGGAAAGGTTAGACAGACAGATGTCCCCCTCCACATTGAAAATGTACGTCAGGACTATAGTGGCGTATCATGACACTGTGGAAGGTAGGTCTCTAGGGAAGCACAACCAGATCATTAGGTTCCTCAAAGGCATGAGGAGGCTAAATCCCTTAAAGCTGTGCCTTATTCCTCTCCTTGGTCTTACAGGGTCTGCAGAGAGCTCCCTTTGAACCCTTTGAGTCAGTTGAGCTTAGTACCTTCTCTTTGAAGACGGCCGTCCTGACCATGCTTACCTCCATCAAGAGGGTTAGGGAGCTGCAATTTACCCAACGTTTCCACTACCCCTTTCGGGGACCAAGTGGTGAACCTGCAAGCACTGCAAGCACACCACGATAATGCGCAGTTTTCCAATCCATGTGTGTTTTCTATTTATGGCGAACCTGGGATGGCAGAGGAATTCTGCTACCAGGCCCGTTATTTGTGGTATGCCTGTTTTTAGATGGGCCTGTCTAATTGGACTAAGTGCTCCATGTGTGGTGATTCCTATATGGTAATCATGTATGCTGTTTTTTTTTCCATTGTAAAGGTGCCCTGTCATTAACCATGTATAT